TATTAGTAATAATAATTCACATTAAATAATATAATATATTTAACTTATAAATTTTTTATTTTTAGACATTTTGATGCTATTTAGAATTTTGACATTATTTTAGAATTTCGTTATTGGTTTTATTGATTTAGAATTTTAACATGCTACCGGGTAAATGTTGAAAGTCAAAATACTGTATTTCTACATAGTAAAACAATTTCGACTAACAACACTACTGGGAATTATTTTACTTTAAATGTTAATATAAAAAAAAGCCGCAACACAACATATTTAAACCTTTTAAGATCTATAACTTTAAATTTGCATAATGTTAAATAATTGGATTGAAGTTTGAAAAAAAAGCTGTTGGTTGAAATTATAAATAAACTTAATTATTTTAGTGCCTTTACCTTTACTTTGAAGTTGATACATTTAATGCTAAGAATTAATAAATAATGTACGCACAGAATAATTCTAAGCACCTACAACCGTTATTTACATATAATGGATGTCGTGTCGTGAAGATACTTATACATTTAAGTTATTATATTCTCTGTATATAGGTAACAAGGTTATTTATCTAATCACGATAAAATGAGTTACCGTAAAGTATGGAAAATAAGCACAGCACCCTCTACCCTACTTTTTTCAATTTCAGATTAGCGGAAATAGCAATAAAACCTTTAATCAAGTTATTCACGTTAATCTGAAATTGAAAAAGCAGGGTAGAGGGTGCTGTGCCTATTTTCCACACTTTACGGTATTTATTTAATTCGGGTAATTCACCGACAAGGTTCTGAAAGTTTAATATAGCCACAAATTTTATGATTTATACAAGATTGCCTCTTATGAACCTTTGGAATCTTGGATTTTCGAAATCTCGAGACACATAGTACAAATAATATTTACAAAATAAACGTACGTACGTACATACCGTAAGTACGTGCGTACTTATAATGTTAACCTAAAAAATTTAGCAGACAAATCAAAATTCTATATCAGATAGAACGCATATGAAATGTCCTAATTAAAGTTGACGGCCGAAAAAAAAGATACTTTATCGAAACCGAAAATACAAATAATAAATATTTATTTATTTATATTTATATTTATATTTATATTTATATTTATATTTATATTTATATTTACATTTATATTTATATTTATATTTGGGGGTGAGTCAGTAGAAACGCACCATATTTTTTCTAAGTAAAATTTTTTGAAACTTTAAACAAGAATAATTCAACAACAACTTAATTAAATTTAATAAAATTTTTTTTAAACCAATTCAAAAAACTTGTAAAATTTATTTAAAAAAATTTTTACTAAATTTGGTTAAGTTTTTGCTAATTTATTTTTGTTTGAAGATTCAAAAAAATTTTATTAAAAAATATATAGTGCATTTCTACTGACTCACCCCCAATTGTGGTCTGGTGTCTTCACCTCAAAATTATGTGTTTTTATATAATAATAATGGTAGTTATACTATACTTTTTTTCAATAACTATAATAATTATTCATTGTGGATATATATAAAAAAAGTATTTATTGTAGGTGCATATAAAAAGAAAAAAAAATAGAAAGGCTTATCTTATAGATGTAGTATTAAAAAGGATGACTGTAACAATTATGCACAGGGAAGAGGCATGTAATAAATAATAAGCTGGTATCATTTTCTAACAATAATGTTTGCTTCTGATAATTGTGGTTTAGTATCTTCGCCTAATGATCATAGTTCTGTGTCTTTAGCTAATAATAGTGGTCTGATATTTTCGCCTAATAATTGTGGTTTGGTGTCTTTGTCTCAAAATTATGTATCTTTACATAATAATAATAGTAGTTATACTGTACTTTCTTTCAATAACTATGATAATTATTTATTGTAGGTGCATATGAAAAAAAATATTTATTGTGGGTGCATATGAAAAGAAAAAAAAAAAAGTAAAAAGACTTATCTTATAGATATAGTATTAAAAGAGATAACTGCGACAATTATATGTAGAAAAGGTGCACCATAGCTAGTATTATTTTCTAACAATAATGTTTTGCTTCTGATAACTATAGTCTAGTATCTTTGCCTAATAATTGTGGTTCTGTATCTTCGTTTGATAATTGTGGCTCTGTGTCTTTGCCTAATAATTGTGGTCTGGTGTCTTTGCCTAATAATTGTGGTTTGGTGTTTTCACCCCAAAATGTATCTTTATATAATAATAATAGTAGTTATACTGTGCTTTCTTTCAATAACTTTGATAATTATTCATTGTGGGTACATATGAAAAAAGTATTTATTGTAGGTGCATATTGAAAAGAAAAAAATAAAAAGACTTATCTTATAAATATAATATTAAAAGGAACGACTATGATAATTATATGTAGGGAAGGGACATGTAATAAATAATAGGCTGGTATCATTTTCTAACAATAATGTTTGCTTCTGATAACTGTGGTTTAGTATCTTTGTTTAATAATTGTGGTTCTGTGTCTTTGCCTAATAATGGTAGTCTGGTGTCTTTGCCTAATAATTGTGGTCTAGTGTCTTCGCTCCAAAATTATATATCTTTACATAATAATAATAGTAGTTATACTATACTTTCTTTCAATAACTATATAATTATTCATTGTGGGTGCATATAAAAAAGTATTTATTGTAGGTGTATATGAAAAGAAAAAAAATAAAAAGGCTTATCTTATAGACATAGTATTAAAAAAGATGACTGCAACAATTATACACAGGGAAGGGGCATGTAATAAATAATAGGCTAGTATCATTTTCTAACAATAATATTTGTTTCTGATAACTGTGGTTTAGTATCTTCGCCTAATGATTGTGGTTCTGTATCTTCACCTAATAATGGTAGCTTTGTATCTTTGTCTAATAATTGTGGCTCTGTGTCTTTGCTTAATAATGGTGGTCTGGTGTCTTCGTCTAATAATTGTGGTCTGGTGTTTTTGTCTAAAATTATATATCTTTACATAATAATAATGGTAGTTATACTGTGCTTTCTTTCAATAACTATATAATTATTTATTGTAGGTGCATATAAAAAAAGTATTTATTGTGAGTGCATATTGAAAAAAAAAAATAGAAAGGCTTATCTTATAGATGTAGTATTAAAAGGGACGACTGTAACAATTATGTGTAGGGAAGAAGCATGTAATAAATAATAAGCTGGTATTATTTTCTAATAATAATGTTTGCTTTTGATAACTGTAGTTTAGTATCTTCACCTAATGATCGTAGCTCTGTATCTTTATCTAATAATGGTGGTCTGGTGTTTTTGCCTAATAATTGTGGTCTGGTATCTTCGCCTCAAAATTATGTATCTTTGTATAATAATAATAGTAGTTATACTGTGCTTTCTTTCGATAACTTTGATAATTATTTGTTGTGGGTGTATATTAAAAAAGTATTTATTGTGGGTGCATATTGAAAAGAAAAAAAAAATATAATAAGCTGGTATTATTTTTTAACAATAATAGTTTGCTTTTTCTAATAATTGTGGTTTAGTATCTTTACCCAATTACTGTGGCTCTGTGTCTTCACCCAATAACTGTGGTTTTGTGTTTTTGTCTAATAATTATAGTTTTGCATCTTCACCTAATAATTGTAGTCTGGTACCTTTGCCTAATAACTATGGTCTGATATCTTCACCTAATAACTATAATTTAATATCTTCACTCAATAACTATGGTCTGTCTTTATACAGCAATGGTAATAGGTTGTTTAAAATCTTTATAAAGATACAATAGTTATTAAATATTAAACCTAATCCTAGCTCTTGCTAATATAACAAATAATCATACAAATTCTAAGCAGTATGAAATATTATGTGATATAGCACAGCACAACCTTTAGAATTATACTGATAAAATGTCGTATCAAATATTAAAAAAAAGAAGGTTGTCAATTTTAAAGTTAGTGACTTCATAAGAGCAAACATTCCTAGAATTGATTGATTTGGCATTGATTGTTTTATTTTACTTTGCAGGATTTTAGAAAAAATTGATAAAATCAATATCGATTGGGTTGTAAATTTGGTGTAATTAATATATATTATACCTCAGATGAGCTTGAGACACTTGGAGCTACCACCTATCCTAAACTTAATAACATTCCCTCAAACCAATTATTTATGCATAAAACATCAATACTCCAGAGCGTAGGTAGAGATGGTATCTGGTTCTATTTGTAACTACAAGGGTAATTGTAATAGTAAAAAGTGTAAATGTAAAAAAGCAAACATGAAGTATACAAGCTGTTGTCATAGTGGTCATGCTTGTTTAAACAAAGAATAATCTATATACTGTATGCTAGTTTATTTTTTTATTAATAAAATGCGAATTTTAAAAATCATGAATAAAAATTTTAGTAATTAAACATGTGATTTTAATAGTGCATCAGTTTACAACCTATGCGTCTTAAATTACAATCGATACATGTCAGATGACCAATTATCAGGTGACGTGTGTCACTTTGAAATCAGCATCTGATGTGTGTCGGTTTAGATTCAATGCGAGAATCGATCTGAGGTACAACAAATATATGACAAAACTTATTCATGAAAATTAAAACGCTATAACACTTTATTCTCTTGAGAATTTATTATGTTTGTGCGATGTGTAATTATTATTAACAAATTTTTTATAATTATTTCTTTTTTCAGACAGACTCTGACTTCCCTCATTTACTTATATACGGCCCCTCAGGTGCTAGCAAAAAGACGCGTGTTTTGTATATTTTAAAGGCATTATTTGGTGATGGTACTGAAAAGGTTTTATAATATCATAAGTTCTTGTAAACTCTTTTTCTATTATTATTTTTATACTAAATTCATTCCACTGTTCATTTGAGTAGATTAAAATTGATCAACGATCTGTTGAAATGCCAAGAAAAAAATTGAAATAAATATTATATCGAACAACATATTGAGTTAACACCCAAATAATAGCTATTAATTACGTGCTATTTTCCTTTGAATCAATCTGCTATAATTAAATTGACAAATTCGATACCTCTTTTTATGTATAATAGGGATATCGGCATTTATGATAAGATAGTTTATCAAGAATTATTAACTGAAATTGCTCAAACTCAACAAATAGACGTGGGTACTAAACAACAATTTAAAGGTAATAAGTTTACGATTTAATTGTTAAAATAATAATCTTAACTGTTAATATTTATATATCTTTGATCATAGTTGTTGCAATAAATGAAGCTGATGAAATCACGCATAATGCTCAAGCTGTACTTCGATGTACAATGGAGAAATATATATCAAATTTAAAAATTATTCTTTGTTGCAATTCTACGAGCAGAATCATTGAGCCAATTCGCAGTAGATGCATGCTTTTAAGAGTTCCATTGCCTTCACTTGACGAAATTGATATTTATTTGAATACAATATGTAATTGTTAATTGTCAATGTTTCGGAACTAATCATTTTCTGTAAATAGATTTCTAAAGCCATTTAATATATTGCATCTAGCAAAAATATATGTTTGAGCAAGAGTTTGACTGATAAAATTATCAAACAAACTCAAGGGTAAGGTGTAACTATTTCCAAATTCATATAAAATAGATTGTAGATTAACTTTGTGTAACCAATATCATATGATATCATATGATTTACATGTAAACAACATATGATTTGACCAATCATAATTAGCAATTCTTTGTATAACCAGGGAAAAACATATAGCATCCAGGGAAATTTTTAGTAATAAGTAAAGTTAATTTTTTTAAAAAACAATATGTATTGTACAACTTTACTATTATAAACAAACTATTTTAAACTACATACTATATAAATTTAATACAAATTGGTTAAGGTATTAAAAAGTTTTATTAGAAGCACTTTTTTGTTTACTATGTAAAAATTCAATATACTACGTAGATTATATGAAAATTAATCTACGTACACCCTACCCTCAAAGAAATCCAAAAAAGGCTATTTTGACTTTTGAAGTTATAGCTTCTCAAAAGTATGCAATATCCTCTATATGAGTTAACAGTTTGATTGGTTGAGTATTAACTTTTTATTTTTTCTCTCATGAATAAGCAAAAACTTGAATGATAATGTTCAAATTCCCAAAGTTTATTGGGAACAAGTGATTGACGATATAGTTGAGAAAATCGTAAAGATACAAGCAGTTGAGACGTAATATTGCATTCTACATTTTAATCCTTGATCAGGTAAAAGCAACTTGGCTAAAATAATAATTTCCTTTTGACAACAGCTTAAGTACAGTTAGACAAAAGATCTATGAACTTCAGTCTCACTGTATTCCGCCATCGCTCATTTTAAAGATGTGTTATCATTTTTTTTACTTTTTTGTCATATATAAGTGGTGCCAAGGGGAGACCTGTAAATCTGGTTTTTAAAATTTATCCTGCTAAGCTTTGCCTATAATTATATTATAATATGAATTGAGAGCATGGACTAGTTATTCTACTCGATAATACACGATTAATTACGTGACGAATGCATAAATTGTGTTTATTAAATGACTAGGACGATTCTTCAATTACGTATTATCATAATGCATCAGTAGCTGAGTATTTTAAGATAAAAATAAGATCTACAGATATTCTCTGGCAGCACTAAGCTTACATATTAAAACTCACAATATCTTTATTATTGCATATTGTTGCTTACATAGAAAATAGCATTGGACCTTTTCATGAATAAAAAGGTCAAATCCAAAGCAAAGCTAGACATTATTAATAGCACAACACACTATGTATATGATTTTGGTTTACATTCCTTGTTTTGTTTTTTTTATAACTGTATTTTCATTAATAAGCTACACAAAACAATGTAGGATCATTGTCTTTGAACTGGGAGACATTCAATATTTCATCTTGAAGCTTTTGTATCATCTGCGATGAGTGCAATCTTAAGGTTTTTTTTTTTAATTTAAATAATAATAAGTAAATTAATATTTTTAAATTAATATTTTTTTTTTCTTTTTTCATTTAGCTCTAATTTTTAATATTCTGTTTCACTGATGAAATATCGAGGTTGTGGTTAGAGTTGGTAAAGTCTTTAGGTCCGGGACTTTAGGACCTGGTCTTTAAAGACCAAGTCCAAATTTATCTAAGGACCTAGGGTCCTTAGGTCCTTAAAGTCCTAATATACAAATTTATAATTGCATAATTCTGGACAGCCTAATCAATATAAACAATATAATTTCAATAAAGTTTTAAATGTATAGTTTAAGATAATAATCATTTATTTAATGTATATAGTTCACTTATTGTTATTACACATTCTAACGATAATAGTTAAGTACATTGTAGAGAGTGATTACTAGGGATAAGGATAAAAGAAAGAAATCAAACAGCTCCAGAAAGTCAAATGGCTGGCTCTAATAGTGTCTCCAGTAAAATTCCAACTAGGGTCGAGCTAAGGCTAACTAGGGACAAGGTAAGTCAATATACTTTTTGATAGAACATGTCTTTAAACATGAGCGAAATCAATTTGCTCGTGCCCAAGTAAAAGTTTATCTGAGACAGATCAAAGAAAAAATATGATATACAATAATATAGTCAAATATAACAGACAATTAGAAACATAGTACTATATTAATATGATTAAGGTTAGGAACTAAAGGCACCTATAATTTTGATTTTATTATGTCTGTAAATAAATCTTACATCTACAAATCGAGTTTGGTTTTCATTCGTATATATAGTTCTTGACCTAATGGGAAATTGGGCTTGGGAAAGCTACGTGAAAATATTTGATCTGATGTCACATTAGCAATGTCCAATATTGCTTGAACCATAACTCCTATCTCTGTGGCACTTAATCCTTCTATATTAGAGAGAGCAACTCGATTCAGTGTGACCTGTCAACAAGGAGGCATTATTGTTCTTCTTGGCCAATGTCCTCGTCTTTTGTGTCTGTTTTTGTTTCTATCTCAAACTGTGCTTGTTTCAGATGGTTTGCAAGGTGTTCTAAGGGAGTAATCCCTTCTTCTAAAAAAAAAAAATTATGACACAATTAGTTTAGAAGCATCTGATTAATTGTATCTTTCAATAAGAAAAAATAAAATTTACTTCTCGATACAATGATGTGGGTTCTATACCAAATCTCTTGACGAAAATCTATAATATATAATAAGCTTTAATATACTAATAACATTTAAAAATGGTAATAATAAATCTAACCTCTCCCATCTTTTGTAATTTCAGCCCAATTCTTTTCTAATCCTCTAACTTTAAAACAATCAAGAGCTTCGAGAGGCAAAGGTGTGGAACGTTCAATGGAAATCGCTTCCTCTAAGGCTCTATTAGATAAAAATCTATATAAAAAAAACATTCTATATTAGGTCATATAGTATAAATGTTTTCACTGATAGTCCAATTCCATACCGGTTAAAGCGTAGTAGGATCACGACAACCCCAAGTAGAAAAAGTACAAACAAGACAAGAGGAAGGTTAAGTAACAAAATAAGACAGGAGCAAAAAAGTGCAAGTGACAGAATAAGAATTATAACGAAGTAAATTATTTGCATTTTTTTTACTCTCTAAGTCATGTCAATTTATCAATTATATAGTTCGCTACGGGTTTACTAATTTCCCCCACCACTTCCCATTGGACGAATACAATTATCATTTTCCATTGGACAAAACAATTACATCAATGATCATGGTGGCTAAAATTTTGCAATTAAAGAATAAATTTTTTCTTTTCGTAATGATTACATTGATTAAAATTTTTTTTCTTTTAAAAAAATAATTATTTTCGACATTTTGTTCTTTTGGGTTTTAGCACTTTCAAGTTTTTTAGTAA